GCTCTTGCTCAGGCTGGTCTCAAACTCCTGAGCTCAAACAATCCTCCCGCCTCAGCCTCCCAGAGTGCTAGGATTACAGGCGTGAGCCACCGCGCCCGGCCTGATTGTTCATTTTAACTAAAAGGTAACTATTAGTTGGAACTTAGGATACATTAATTTTTCATGGAGATATACATTAGAAAAGTGTATGTGTTATAAAATAGATTTTACTTGTGTGGAATTGCAGCTGAGTTTTAGTTCCACAGGTGTGCTGTGTGGCTGGTCTTGAATGGATCACTTAATTTATCTTCACAAATTTACAAATTTAGTTGACTCTGTAGTAGATTAGCAATTTAAGATGGGTATTATTACCTTTTCTAATCTCTTTCTTATAATAGAAGCCTCTTTTTGTCTAGAAACATGTATATTTAACATGGATCCAAAATTTTAAAATCTCTTTCATTCCAAAATATACTTGTAAGGACTATAACGTAGTTAGGCAGAAATGGATTCCCCATGAGCCTTGGTTCCAAATAAATAGCTAAAAGGTTTTAAGTACTCTTCTTGGATACTTCTTTTTGGGTAAGAGAAGTAAGAAGTGATGATTTTGGAGGGAGTGAAGCAGTCTTGCATTTGTCTTGTACTACCAGGGGTCTTAGTCATGCTCAGATTTTTGTGACACACTTCTGGAAGTCTTGTTGAGGTACTATATTAGCATTAGTACCATAAATACAGTATGATATTTGTTAGTTTTTAAAGATTATATAGGAAGAGGGCAGTGTGTTGAAAGCATAAGTAAGAATAATCTTAAAAGTCTAGAAAATTACAGCACAGAATTCTCCAACGTATTTAAGTTTCATCATTCAATTAGTGTGACTTACTATTTTAGACTATGATTTTCTTCATAGTGCACTTTGTGGATATGTTTTAGGAGTTATTAAATTTAAATGGTCTTATTCTTTTGGCTGTAAACATGCTTTTGTAGTTGGTGCAGAATTCTAAGTATCAGTTATTAACAGTCATTAAACAAATGTTTAGATTCTGTGATCATTCTTTTTTCCTGGAGTCTAGTCTTTTTTCTGCTCTTTTACCTTTGTGTAACTCCTCATCTTGATTTTTAACACCATCACATCAAAATGTATTTCATTAGAAACAACCAAAATCTGCATTTAATTTTTAGAGTCTGAATACCGAATATATGTAAAAGATACCTGGATTTGTTAAAACCCATTCCGTTTATCTAGTAGTCTGAATGTTTTGCCTGTGTTTCATATCCGTACCTAGCATTATACCTTCCAGATCATGAGACTCCTTGAAGGTTCTTACAACACCAGAGAAAATAACATTGCCATTTTATACCATTCTTATTTGTTTATTTTTCTAAATCCTCTTCTGTGGTAGAATATCTCTATCCAGGATCTGAACTTACTTAAAGGTGGACATGTGATTTTTCCCCCCCTTTCCCTGCATGTGAATGTTGATTAGAACTACACTGATCAAATACCTTATTGTTCTCAGGGGTAAAACTAAATCTACCTACACATCTCTATTTTAAGGTGTTTATAGAATAGCCAAGGTGAGCATAGCATGTGTAATACTTTTTAAAGATAGAAATGCTACATATCCACTATTTTTATTTTTAATTAAAAGTTTTCTTTTTAAATAATTGTATATATTTAAGGTGTACAATGTGATGTTTTGATATACACATTGTGAAATAATTACTACAGTCAAGCTAATTATCATATTCATCTCCTCAAATAGTTACCATCTTTTTTTGTAGCTAGGACACTTAAGATCTACTCTCTTAGCAAATTCAACTATATA